TTTTATGAACGTGGATGCCTTTGTATTTGGGGCATAAATGTTCAGAATTGAGACTTCATTCTGATGGATTTCTCCTGTGATGAGTAGGAGGTGACCTCTTTTATCTCTTTTGATTGATTTTAGTTTAAATTCCAATGTGTTGAATATTAGGATTGCTATCCCTGCTTATTTCCTGGGTCCATTTGTTTGGAAAATCTTTCCCCAACCTTTAATTCTTATGTACTGTCTGTCTTTGAAGTTGAGGTGTGTTTCTTGTATGCATCAGAAGAATGGATTCTGCCTTCTTATCCCTTCTGCTAATCTGTATCTTTTTTTAGAGTCGAGTTAAGACAATTAATGTTGATGGATTTTAATGACCATTTATTGTTCATTCTGGTTTGTTTTTGAGTTGGTGATGGTGGTGAAATTATGTGTTGGATTCTATCCCTTTTTCCTTTTGGCTGTTGGTAAAGTGGGATTATCTATTGCCTATATTTTTCTGGTTGTAGTTAACTTCCTTGGGTTGCAGTTTTCCTTCCAGAGCTTTCTGTATGGCTGGATTGGTGGGTATGTATTGTTTGAATCTGGTTTTTCATGGAACATCTTGTTTTCTCCATCTATACTGATTGAAAGCTTTGCTGGGTTAGTAGTCTGGGCTGGCATCCATGGTCTCTTAGTGTAGGTAGAATATCTATCCAAGACCTTCTGGCTTTCAGAGTTTCCACTGGAAAAGTCGGCTGTAATTCTGATAGGTTTGCCTTTATATGTTACTTGACCTTTTTCCTTTGCTGCTCTTAATATTTTCTTTTTGTTCTGAATATTGGTGTTTTGATTATTATGTGGCAAGGAGACCTTTTTTTTTTGGTTCAGTCTATTTGGTGTTCTGTAGGCTACTTGTATTTTCATTGGCATGTCTTTCTTTAGGTTGGAAAAGTTTTCTTCTATGATTTTGTTGGATATGTTTTCTGCACCTTTGAGTTCTATTTCTTCACCCTCTTCTATACTTATTACTCTTGGGTTTGGTCTTTTCACAGTTTCCCATATTTCCTGGGTATTTTGTGTTAGGGATTTGTTGGACTTAAGCTTTTCTTTGGTTGATGAATCTATTTCCGCTAGTGTGTCTTCAACTCCTGAGATTCTCTCTTCCATTTCTTTTATTGTTGGGTATGCTTGCATCTGTAGTAACTGATCATTTACCCAGCTTTTCTATTTCCAGCATTCCCTCAGATTGTGCTTTCTTTATTGTCTGTATTTCAGTTTTTATTCGTTGTTTTGTTTTGGTTTAGTTTTTCGAGACAGGGTTTCTCTGTGTAGCTTTGGATCCTATCTGTATTTCAGTTTTTAGGTCTTCAACTGTTTCCTTGAGAGGTTTGTTGATAATCTTGTATTTTTTGGTTTGTTTTTTTCTTACATTTCTCTAAGGGATTTTCTCATGTCCTCTTTGAGGTCCTCTATCATTTTTATGCGGATGTTTTTAAGGTCGTTCTCTTCTGCTTCATCTGCATTGTGATGTTCAGGTCTTGCTGGTGTATGGTTCCTAGTCTCTGGTGGTGTCATATTGGGTTTTCTGTTGTTGATTATGCTTTTACATTGTTCTCTTCTCATCCTTTCTTCTGGTGGGTATAGCAGGAGTCTCTTCCTCTCCTGGTGGGTATGGGACCAAGGTTCCCTTCTGGTAGATGCAAACAGTTCCAATACTCTGATGTCTGTCCTCTTGTCGTGGAGGGAGGCGGAACCTCCACCGGGGTTTCGGCAGTGTCCAGGTATGTCGGGTCCCGCTGCCGATCTCGGATCCGGCCAGCAAACCCTTGGTGTCACATGCCTCCGAGCTGGGCAGCTTACACAGACCTGGAAATAGCCCCTGGCCCACTCTGGCCAGTGGATGGTGGAGGGACTGAAAAAAATGTTGGCAAGCATTTTGTGCTCTAAAACATCTATCTTGGAAAATGCTGTGATCCACTGATGATGGAAATGTGGAGTCTGCTGCAGCTGGACCAAGTGTTCCATCAATGCTAGATTGATCTTTTAGTATACAGTAGTGTTTAGCTCTGAATCCTTTTCATCTGGCTGATCTGTACATTGATGAACAGGGTACTGAAGTCCACTGAAACAATAGATTATTAGTATTTATACCAAGAAGTATAATGAGACATTGTACAATAAGTAAGTATGAATAAAATGAGTAGGAAGAGGTTACAGTATGATGCAATCCAGTGGGAATTTAATTTAAGGGACTCCTGGCTGTGGGTGGGTCTTGCCCCTCAAAAGTGCTTTTGTTTTGTTTTTCTTGAAAAAAGGTCTCACTATGTTGCTCAGGCTGGCTTCAAACTCTTTATTAGACCTCTCTAGTAGCTGGGAACTGCAGGCTTGTACCACCATTTCAGCTTCTCCAATAATATTTTGGTAAAAGCATAGTTTAGTATACATGAAAAGCAACTGAACTTTTTATGTTTTAACTCAGCCAAAAACTAAAGCTTGAAAAAAGAAGGAAAAGAAGCAGCAGCCAGCACTTACAATTCTTCCCAATAATCATAGACATTATTTATTTCTTGGCCATTTTGCTTCATAGCTGTCTTTGTGGTTAATAAATGTCTCTTAAGACCTAAAATTCCACAGAACCAAAGAAAATGGCTCACAATCTTTGTCCTTAAAAATCATTTAAAAATTATTTTCTTTGTTATATTAAGCAAGTTAAGTCTAATTTTGTTAGAAAGCACAGCTCACTTCTGGGTATCCTATACCATGCAGGGTTTTTATTTTATTTTGTTTTGTTTTGTTTTGTTTTGTTTTTGTCTGTGAATCTGAAGAAAAGAGCAGGAAAATGCAAAATAGCAAAGATGTATTTTCTCATACTGACCCAAGAAGTGTTTAATCTCTGTGGCCTTCAATGCTTCTAGTGTGGGTTTTTATAAATATAAAAAAAATCTAAATTGTGCCATAGTTGCTAAGATTCCCAAGGTTTTGTCAACTGGCAGTTTTAAAAAGTGCATTCCCTTTTCTATTTTGTTTGAACTTGATGTTACTTGTAAAACCCGGTTTTGCTCCTTAAGAACTCTCTCCTAGACATTCTGGCCAACAAAGGGGCCACTTTCCTTGAGAAACTAGGAAATTCCATTAGGTGTTTTCCTGCCACCTCCTTCATGTTCTCCAGTGAGTGGGAGCTGTCTGGTAAGCAAACACAGACAGTCCTCATGTAAAGCAGTCAGAGGTTTCCCTTTGCCGTGGAGGATGGGAAACACTGCAGAAGGAGATTTTAATCATGGGGTTGACTCTTTCTGGTCTGGGTATGTGGCTCAATCTGCAACCACCCAATCTTGACCCAGGGAGTAGGTGGAGTGGAAAGTCTGATTACAGCTTCCAGTCCTGGCCATCACTCCCACTGCTTCTTCCAAGGTGTCAGTTTTGCCAACTCGAATTAATTGAATGACATGAAAACTGAGCCATTAAAAAGCACATAACCCATAAGAGAGTCCCTGGAAAATGCTCATTCATCTGTATTTATTGGAAAGCATTATTATATATATCCCATATGCTACTCATGTGAAGATGAGTGTAGTGGACTCATTCTGAGGGTAATGGGGGGTAGGTGGGAGAGCTTCATAGAGAAAGCATTATGTTACTAGGGTGTAGCAGAATGGTGATCTGTCTAAAGTGCAGTAGTGAAGTAAAGAAGACACTGAGCACTTTAGTAGCTGTGCTCAGGGAAAGCCTCAGGGAGGAGGTGATATATAAACTTATATAGATACTTTATAAGTAGCACATGGGAAAGAGAGTCTTGATAGGATTTCTCAAATATGAGGGCAACAGAACAAAATAAAAAACAACAAAAACAAAAAACAGGTATCCAGTGTTGTGATAGTGAACAACAGCTTTCCATGAATAAGGGGAAGAAAATCTGTACAGGCATGTATGTCCCACACTAGCATGTGTCAATGTATGTGCAAGTGTGTGTGTGTGTGTGTGTGTGTGTGTGTGTGTGTGTGTGTGTGTGTCTGAAATATGGTATATTTAAAGTCCACCTTAGCTTCATCTGTTGGCAATTTGATTGTCATCTGAGCAATAGACAGGCTATGTCTTCCAAATACAATTTTGCTGATACTTGAATCCCCCTACACGACTCTGTTGGGTTGTTCCTTGTACATAGGGTTGAGCTGAGAATTTTCCAGAATCGCTTTCCTTGAGTAGATCTGGGCTAGATTTGGTCAAAGGACAACTTGGAAGCAATCTGAAAGTAGGAGTGAAGTGACACCTTGGCATTGAGGCTGCTGTGCTTGGACAGGGGACAGAGGAGTGTAAGTGAACTCCGAACTTTATGTGGCACCCACCTTTCCTTTTGGGCTACAGCAGTTGTTGACCAAGAGTGGCCTGAACCTCATTAACAAAGACCTGTGTGGATCAGGGCAGTAGGCTAGCAAAGGCACCACCTTCTCAGATGTCTTCATGAGCCCCCTTTATAATCCCTACAAGATCCCACCTCCTACTTACTTTATTCTCAGGAAGCTGATAGCAAAAGCCTGCCATACTTTCACTTCCAGCTTCTTGCATACTGGGAGAGTCCTAAATCCAGTGTCATATATCGCTTTCCTATGCTCATGGCTATTTCCTGCCCCTGCTAGATTATAAGTGGGAGGTTTACCCCTCTGCATTAGAAAATTGGGCTTCCTTCTACCCACCGGTCTGGGTTTAATAGCATTCTCTTGTCTAGACATTCTAGCCTATGGTAAATCCTTCTCGCTTGGCAAAGCTGCACATCCTCCCAAGTTTCTTCCAAGAGCCTGATCCAGAGGGTTTCTGGAGGGGACATGGAATCTGAATTTTATAACCAGCTGTTTTGGCCAATCTTGGTTGTCAATTTAACTACATTCTGAAATCAACTAATGTGCAAGTTGCTGGGTGATCCTGAGTGATTGTCTTGATAGTTAATTGGTGCATGAAGTTTTACCCTAAATGTGGGCTGTACCTTTTGCTGGCAGCCCTGATAAAAAGACATAGAGGAAGGAAACTTTGTTTTTAGCCTGTTTGCCTTCTCTCTTGCTGGCAGATTCATCTGTCCTTTTTCTGTGGCACTCCTTTGCTGATATTAGAACCTTTCCATGAATCCTTCAGGCCGTTAGCACCAGACTGGGACAGTTGCTGCATGGACTGAACTATACCTCTCCTGTGAGACAGTCATTGTCAGTGTATCCAGAGCATATCATGTAAGCCAACCTAATCTTCTCCTCTCTCTCTCTCTCTCTCTCTCTCTCTCTCTCTCTCTCTCTCGCTCGCTCGCTCTCTCTCTCTCCCTCTCTTTTTCCCTCCCTCCTGCCCTCCCTCTCCCTTCCTCTCCTCTCCCCCCTCTCTCTTTCTCTCTACCTAGCTCTCCTCTCTCGGCTCTATTCCTTTAGAGAACCTTAACACAACAGGCTCTTTTTCTTTTCACTACCAGATGATTCTGTCACAATGTGCTGGTGTGTTCTAGATTGCCCTTCATTTTCATCATTCCAGACAAGGATGCTATGCAACATCCTCTTGTCCTTGTGTCTGTATTGAGCTGTGTTTACTTCTTGTCAGTCCCTTTTCATGATAAACTTATTTTAACATCATCATTATTTTTTTTGTTGTTATTTAGCTATTTTGACACATGTGCTTACTCAGTAGCCTTGCTGATCTGGAGCTTCAATCTGCTTGTTTATGTGATTTAAATAAAGGCATTTCCCCTTTATAACCTTAGAGCATTGTTGTTGATGTATTCAAGTTGTTACATGATCAAGACAAAAAAGACAATGAAGAAGGAATAAAGGGCAGTTATGGGGTAACTTTCACCTTAAGGTAGACCCATAAGAAGAAGTTGGGAGCGAAAGAGGGCAACTTTGGGGGCTGGAACACTTGCCTGAGGTCAGCATTAGCTGCAGAAGGACTCATCTGCCTTCTCCATGTACAATCCAGGAAGTATGCCTTCATCTGTGTAGGAAGAAAGAATTTTCAGCTGTTTCTGCTCTTTACCAATCCCAGAGGCTGTAGCCCTCTGGGTACACCCAAATGGGACTGGTGTAGCCTACATCAGAGTAGCCTGAGGTAGGAAAGTTCCAGACATTGGAGCAAGCAGATGCAGAGTCATCTTCTGTCACTAATCTTAGACAAGTAGTAAAGCAGATATTGTACTACCTCTCTGACAAGGATGTTGGGAGGGTTTGAAGGAGATGACAGAGCCCAAGCACAATGCCTGGTACATGTCAGGTCGTCCGTATTCAGTATATCTGTCCATAGGTCCTCTAGTTTTGGCCAAGATCACCTCTTCAGCTACCTGGCTGCAAACATTTGAAACCTATTTCATGTGCAGCTTGGCACTCAGCTAGCTTCCTGTTGGGGGCATCTAGATGTTCTTCCTGCCTTTCACATGGAGTAGAACTGGTAGATAGTGGATTGTGGCTCAAAAGAGTTTCCAGGCAGGAAAAAAAAGTCAGGCTCAGCGGGATCAGGAGGATCTGTTTGGCTATGTGAGTTATTAGCCCTGATGTGACCTTCCCCTGTGTGACTTAGAAATGATTACTAATATATGAATGTGAGCATTCTTCTCTGAAGGTTGTGGCTTGTAAAGAAGCTCACTGATAGAGCATTTGACTGGTTTGTGCAAGGCCCTGGGTTTGATCCCAGTTCTTCTAAACCCAAACCAAAACACCTACATAAACAGTCATCACAGGATTCTCAGACATATACTGTGTGCCCTCTGACCAGATGCTTCTTCTCTCCACAGACTCCTGCTGATGGTGAAGTAAGTTTGGCACATTCTTGAAAGACATATCAGCCCACCTACCTTATAAAAGTTTCTGAGTATTCTTCATATATGGGCACCTAAGGGAAAGAGCCATGGTCACAAGAAGCAGAATTCCCTTCAAGCTCCATGAGACAGCAGTGTCCGACAAAGAGCAGGCAACCTGTAGGAGTGGACAGCTAGCAGAAACAGTGATTGATACAGTCCATAGCTGTCTCTGGGGCTTTGCTGTCTTTTATTTTATCTCCACTTTCAGTCCCTGAGATATTTTCCAGCTTCAGTCTACAGAAGTACAGAAGTACCATCTCTCTGCATTAGTGTGCAGCTCTGCCCAACAATGCACTGGGGACTGACCCAAACCTCCTTAGTGCTCAGCTCAGTCCTTTCTCAGGAAGAGAGAGTCTCATTTCCAGACCCTGCATCACCAGCTGTTTCTTCCAGGGGCTGAGTTTGGTTATGAGAACTCGTCAGGACAGCCACTACTGGCAGTGGCCATGCCAATATTGTGGGCTGGGGTTCCCATGTACAAGACAGGTGCTGTTCAGGTGAGTTTTGTGTACTTTTCCCTTGAAGGTGGGATCTAGGGCAGTGAGGATTTGGAAATCTTGGTCTTCTTTTTTATGGAAGCATCAGTGGACATGCCAAGTTGTATCATAGTATAATGTATTAACTATACAGCTACAAGAGTGGCCACCTGAGGTCCAATTTTATTCCACAGATACAGCCACAATCACAATCAAGTTTGTTGTGGCCAGAAATATGTAAAAGAGTCTCAAACTAAGAACTCTGTCACTTCACAGAAACAAGGTAGGTTTTTTTTTTTTTTTCATATAACCTTGCGTTGTTTTGAGTGTTTACCTGTATTTCAAAATGAATTCTAGTTGTAGAAGTTGAGATGGAGCCAATACTAAAGTAGCTTTTGGAGAACTAAAGATGCAGATATGCCTGGGCAAATCAGGGTCTATGTCTTCCTGGCTTCTCTTGCACTCCCAGTGGATGCTGACTAAGTTGGATACACCCAGATGCATTTCTACAGATTCCTGCAGTCTCCAAGGCTGTCCAATCTGAATCTTTCAAATAACAATGGCTCGATATGAGTAGGAGATAGGACTGCCATCCTTCCTGACTCCTCATATTTCCAGAGCTCCTATCTCTTCTGGAAATCACAAGAGTGATACTATCTGCTTATGCTCAGCAGCCATTATGTATGTCTTGAATGGAGGGTGATTTCCCAAATCAGGCCTTTCATATCCCAAATTCACTGTGGCCACATCAAAATAACCAGAATTTCCAGAAACATCCAGAAAGAGTCTTTTTAAAGGACCCAAGTTGTTGTCATGAAGCAGTGAAGACATACCAGTTCCATTTGCTCTTGCTTTTTAGTGAACCATCAGAAACTTAATTGTGCTCATGAATTCATGGATCAGGAATAAGACAGGACCCAGGGCAGGCTCTTTGCTTTTTATTGTTATAGATCTCTGCTAGGAACACAGGAACGACATGACTGGAAAATCCCTTCCCAGATGGCTTCCTCCTGTACTGTCTGCTAATTGGTCCAGGATGGCTAAAGTGAGGCTTACCTGGGACCTGAGCCACTCATGTAGTGTTATGATTTGAATCTGAAATGTGTCCCCCATATCTTATCTGTTACTATTTTGGGGCACTATGGGACCTTTAGGAAGAGCAGAGTAGCTGGGAGAAGTAGGTCACGAGGAACAGGCTTTTGAAGGTTAAAATCCTGGTTCCCTTTTCCTGGTCTGCCACAGTGTGATCAACCACTACCACATGCTTTCACCATTGTCTATGCATTCCTGACAATGATTGATTGAGACACCCTGAAATTCTGAGCCACTGTTGAGTCCATGGGCTTCATCTTGCCACTGGTCATTATTGAAGTTCATGAGGCTCACAGCTAGATGAGATGGTTGATGATCTTTTCTTCCCAGAAGCCTGCCCAGTACTTTCTGGCACTATGAAAGCTAGCCAGCATGGAGGAAGCATCTTGGTATGAACCTACTTGATCTCTCCATGTCCTGTGCCCAAAGTGGTGGTGTGTCTTCAGCAATGGGGTCTTATTACAAAGTTCTTGTGGGCAACCAAGAACAATAGAAACAATGTGTATTCTTCTGGGAGGTCTCCAGTGGAGGTATCCCACATCTGGCATTGGACCTTTTATTTAACAATGTATGTTTTCTAGGAAGAGAATTAACCCTGTATAGGTTAGCTCCAATTAAACTTTTTATGTGAACATATAGATATTGAAGTAGCTTATAAAATACTAAGTTTGCATATGACCTTTTCAACTGTCATTAGTATTAATTATCCCTTCCCACAACCTTTGGTGCCCTATTCTCTCATTCTTCCTCCAGCTTAAACCTCCTTCCTCATTCTTCTCCCTTCCTCCTTCATATCACCTGTGTTCTGATACACCCTCTCAGTTGGGATATTTTTCAAATACTGGTTCTATTTCATTGGATGCATTCTTTTTTTTTTCCTGAGACAGGTTCTCTCTGTGGCTTTGGAGGCTATCCTGGAACTAGCTCTGGTAGACTAGGCTGACCTCAAACTCACAGAGATCCGCCTGCCTCTGCCTCCTGAGTGCTGGGATTAAAGGCGTGCACCACCAATGCCGGGCGATGTTGTACATTCTTAAAGATTATTTGCCTCCTCTTGTTTAACCATGGTAGCTCATATACACCTAGAAATTTATCCGTTTTTTTAGATGTTCCAGTTTCATGAAATATAAATAAAGTAGGTATTCTCTAAATTTCTTCAGTGTTTGTTATATCTACCTTGAATCTCTAATTTTGTTAATTTAAATACTTTTCTCTATGTTAGTTTAACTAGTTTTGTCAAACTTGTTAATCTTTTCATAGAATCAAGTCATCAATTAATAGATTCCTCTTTTGTTTATTTTGATTTCACTTAGTCTTGATTTTGATTATCTCTTCATGTCTACTGTTTTTGGGTTTTGTTTTTATATAAGGCTTTCTGGTGGAATACTTGTTTTTTTTGTCATAGTGTATGGATCTTTTTCAAAATTATTTATGGTTTTTGGATTATAATACAATTACATCATTATATATATATATATATATATATATATATATATATATATATGCAATATACTCAGTCTGAATAGCTTAAATCATACATCTATATTTTCAGGACTGACCATTTGGTATATTCTTTAGAGAGGAAGACTATTTCTCCCATTCTCAGTGTTCTTTAGATGTCCATGGTTCTTTGTATAAGGTTGAGGCTTCCTGAGATTTCCCTCCTTCCTGTTAATGTATCTATTGGAATCATCCATGTCCAGCTCAATTTGAAGTTTTTAACTTGAGATCTTTCAAATTTTTTGATGTAGGCACTTAGTGCTATAAACTTTCTTCTTAGGAAAAGTTAAAAAAGTATCCTCATTTGCAGATTATTGATTCTATACATAAAGGACCCCAATGCCTTTTTCAGGAAACTCTTACAGCTGACAGACACATTCAGAAAAGTAGCAGAACACAAAATTCACACATAATGTCTACTAGCCTTCTTATATAGCAACAACAAACATACTGAGAAAGAAATCAGGAAAACAATATTATTTATTATAACTTGAAGAACATCTCAGAGTAATCTGACTAACAAAGTGAAAGGTTTATATAATGGGAAGTTTAATGCAATAAAGAATGAAATTGAAGAAGATACCAGAAGATGTAAAGACCTCCTATATTCATGGACTGGTAGGATTAATATTGTGAAAATGGTTATATCCAAACCAATCTATAGATTCAATACATTTCACATCAAAATTCTAACACTGTACTTTCCAGAAGCTTAAAATAGAATCTCAAAATTCATATGAAAGTACAAAAATACTCCTAGAATACCTAAAACAACTCAAGACTTGAAATGAAAAATTCAGGGAATTAAACAAAAATCTCATAAGAAAACCTTACTGACAAACTGGATCAAGTGGAAGAGAGAATATCATTAGGTCTCAAAGAGAAGGTAGAGAACTTGGATCACACAGCCAAAGAAAATATTAAATGTCAACACAACAACAAACCCCAAAACAGAACTTTCAGGATTCTGTAATAGTATAAAAAGACAAAGTCCACAAATAATAGGTATAGAAGAAAAATAAGAAATTCAGGTCAATGGCAAAGAAAATATTTTCAACAAAAATCATAGAAGAAAAATTTCTAAAGCTAAGGAGATTCCTATTGAGATATAAGAGGTATACAGAACACCAAATAAAAACAGAAAAGAAACTACCCACATTGCATAATAATCAAACCCCTACATGTACAGAACATAAAAAGAATATCACAATTTGTAAGAGAGAAAGACAGCATATCCTTCAGAATAACACCAATTTTTCAAAACTTAAAAAGACAGAATGGTTTGGACAGATGTTCTACAAACTCTGACATACCACAGATGACAACCTAGACTATCATACCTCACAAAACTATCAGTCATAATTGAAGGAAAACGAAAACTTCATGATAAAAATAGGCTAAAGATATTTATGGTCATTAAGACAGCTCTTTAAAGGCTGTTATGAGGAATACTCAACTTGAAAAGAAGATTAAACATGCCTAAGAAGGCAAAAGTTATAAATAAGCAATCCCAGAAGAGTTGATCAATGGAGATACGAGAAAATACCACTACCACAACAAAATAATAGGAATTAATAAACATTGATCTACAGAAACTCACAATATTAACAGTCTCAACTAACAAATTGGATTAGAAACAGGATTCATCATTTTGTTGCTTCTAAGAAACACTCTTCACCATCAACAATAGGTAGTAGGCATTACCTTAGAGTGAAAGAATGGAAAAACAAATAGAAATAAGAAACAAGCAAGCAAGCATATTTTACCATCTGACAAAATAGACTCCAAACTAAAACTAGTCAGAAGATACTAGGGAAGGACATTTCATACTCATTTTAAAGGAAAAAGCCACCAAGTGGATAGTATATCCTTAACATTCACACAACAAACATAGAGGCATCCAATTTTAGAGAAGAATCACTATTAGATCTTAAATTAGAGACTGATCCCAAAACAGTTGATAGTGGGTATTTTTTGATACCCCACTCTCACTAATAGTCATGTCACCCAGACAAAAAAGTAGTGGAAAAAACTGCAGTTAAATGATATCGTAAATCAAATGGACCTAACAGATATCTATAGGACTTTCCACCCATATACTGGAGCATACATATTATTTTAATCAGGCCAATAAACATTTCTCCAAATTGACTATGTATTAGGACTCAAAGCAAGTCTCAAATAATCTAGAAAAACTGAAATGACAACCTTTATCCTTTATGACCCTCATTGAATAAATATGGATATCAACAGCAATAGAACAAATAGTGCACAATCTTTTATAAACAAAACAACACATTTGTCCTACTTGGCTTTACTATTGTTGTGGTAAAATACTGACCAAAACTAAGTTGGAGGTGGAAGGGTAGATTTGAATTACACATTTCGATTAACAGTATATCATTGAGGTCAGTCAGGGTAGGAACCATGAAGGAAGGAAATCTCCTTGACTGACTTATTTTTTCATGATTTGCTTAGCTTGCTTTCTTACATAAGCCAGGACCACTTGCCCAGGAATGGCATTTACCACAGTGGGATGGGCCCTCCAACACCAACCATTAATTAAGAAAGTGATCCACAGGCATTCCCCAGACCCACCATATGGAGGCACTTCCTAAATTGGCATTTCCTCTTCTCAGGTGACTAAGTTTGTTTTAAGTTGACAAGAACTAATCAGCATAACACTACTAAAAGAAAATTTTGTCAATTGGGAAAAAAGAAGGCAATTTAAAAGTTTCTAGAATTGAATGAAAATGAAACAGAACATACCAAAACCTATGGAACATAATGAAGAACCCCTAAGAAAAACATTTATTTAGACAAAGTTTTTGGGAGAAACTCTTATATGTAACAGTGGCTGGTCTAGAACTTGCAATATGTAGCACAGGCTGGCTTAAACTCACAGAATTCCACCTATCTCTGCTAGGATTAAATGTGTGCACTGCCTCTTCCAGCTTCTAAGAGGAAAGCCTATAGCCCTAAGTGCTTACATTAAAAACTCGAGTTATCCCATTTTAATAACTTAGTAATACACTCAATGACATTTGAAAAGCAACAATAATAACCACCCCAAAACCATAGACAGGAAGAGATGATCAAGTCACAGCTGAAATTAATGAAATAGAAATAAAAATCATATGAAGAACCAATGAAATGAGTTGACTATTTGAAAAGATTATGAAGACTGACAAATCTTTAGTGATGTTAACAAAAAAAGAGGACCCACATTAATTAAATCAAAGACAAAACAGAAAAACTATATCAAATGTTAAAGAAATTCAGGGAATCAAAACGATATACTTTAAAAACTACACTCTATTGTATTACAGAAATATAAAAGAAATGGATGAGTTTCTAGCAATATATGATCTGCAAAAATTAAATTGAGATAATTACTTTAAATAGACTCATTACAACTTAAAAAAGCTCCACCTTAAAAAAAAAAGCAACCACAAGACCAAATGGACTGAGCACAGAAGTCTGCCTGATCTTCAAAGAAGAACTAATACCAGTACTACTCAAATTATTCCATAAAATTTTAAAGGAATGAACATTGCCAAATTCTTCTAATGAAGCTAGAGTTACCTGATAATAAAACCAGTTAAAGATACAACAAAAGAAAATAATCATTCTGATGATCATAAACACAAAACTTCTCAATAAAATACTTAACAAACCAAACTCAAAACTACATCAAATAGAGGCACCATGATAAAGTCAGCTTTATCTCAGAGATGAGGTATTGTTCAATTTATGTAAGACCAGTGAATGAGAAAAAGGGTATACATGTAGGAAAAAATAGCAAAGTTCTTTTCAAATGATAATGTTTTATCTAATACAGCTGGTAGATTCAGAAAAGCCCAACAAAATAAACACAAAAACTCAGTAGCCTTCCTATATACCAAAAACAAACATATTAAGTAACAAATCATATAGATTTGGATTGTTTGTAAAAAATCATGTGTTCATAGGTGTGTGGGTTAATATCAGGGTTTTCAACTCTATTCCATTGGTCTACCTGTCTATTTTTGTGCCAATATCAAGTTCTTTTCAGGACAATAGCTCTGTAATAGAGCTTGAAGTCAGGGATGATAATGCCTCCAGAAATTCCTTTGTTGTACAGGGTTGTTTTGGCTATCCTGGGTCTTTCGTTTCTCCATATAAAGTTGAGAATGGTTCTTTCAAGTTCAGTGAAGAATTGTGTTGTGATTTTGATGGGGATTGTATTGAATCTGTAGATTGCTTTTGGCAAGATTACCATTTTTACTATGTTGATCCTACCTATCCAAGAGCATGGGAGATCTTTCCATTTTCTGGTATCTGCTTTTCTTTCTTTATATAGTCAAAATTCTTATGGTACAGGTCTTTCACTTTTTGGGTTAGTGTTACCCCAAGGTATTTTATGTCGTTTGTGGCAGTTGTAAAGGGGGATGTTTTTCTGATTTTTTTCTCCACCAATGTGTCATCAGCATATAGTAGGGCTACAGATTTTTTGAGTTAATCTTGTATCCTGCCACTTTGCTGAAGGTGTTTATCAGGTATA